CGTCCCCCGCCCCCCCCCCCCCCCCCCCCCGGTATATAAATCTTGCCTAGCATACGCAAGCCAAAATGTGACATGGCTAGCCTCGAGGCCCGGTTTCCTTCCTGGCGTCTTTGACGGACGGACGGGGCCTGCATGGAGACGGTGCCTCGCACGCGCGGAGTTTGAGCCTGTGCTGCGTGGAGGCCCGTGTCTGCGCGGGCTGCCCCACTCACCGTAACTCCCTAGGCAATGCTGTAGTATGCCATGTGATTGAAGGCTAGGGCGGGTGGCTTGGACGTCGCGGGCGGGAGACGGGGTGGGGGGAGTTAGGCTTGCAGGTATATATCCTGTTCACATCAAAAGGACAACTCCCTCATTGGCTAATAGCAACAGTTAAACTGACGATTCATTCCCCTGTCCTCTGGTGTATCTCTATATATGAAGGTGAGCACTTTTGGTAATTTGTCCTTGTGCCGAACTCTCTAGCTATCCGGAGTGAACTCGGTGGCTAGGAGAAGGCTTCAGGGCATCAGAACTCCAAGCTCATACGTCATCGCGATTAAAATTAAACTTCTAGTCTAACCTCCAGACTTTTCTTTCTGCTGCCTCCCCTCTCTCTGCCCCGAGGTATATACATTGAACCGTAAATTAAAGTAGGTATACAAGACAAGCGGTTCACTTCCCGGCGGATGAGGAAACAAAGAGCCAAACAACTGCGAGGTTTTGTGCAAGTACTTGAGGTGCGCGGGCGCATCTTGTTTGTGGTGTTTTGTTTTGGCACCAGCGTTTCTCTCGCCACTCTTGTTTGGAGCTGACGTTTTGGTTTGCCAGAATATGTGTAGGCTGAGAACTGACTTCACCTCATGTGGAGGTGAGTACAGCAAAAAATTGGCTTGGACACGAGACGTCAGAGGCCGAAGGGGTATTGTTGAGAGAACATGACTAGGAACGGCGTCATATAAGTCGGAGGAGCCGGCCCCTTAGCCCTCGCTCGTTGACGGATAGCGCAGAGCGTAGCAGCGGCCGTGCGAGACCTATCATGACTGGAACTCGGCCACTTTATTCCGTGTCGAGCCGGCACGTCAATGCCAACGGTACGACAGAACAGAACAACAATAGCAGCCACAATGCTAGATGGTAACGGTGCCAAGGAGCTGCATGTCGAAAATGAGAACATCCCACGATCCTCTAGGCCATCTCGGTCCACATGACTGGGACAAAGACAACGCATGCCTTCCACAGGATGAGCACACACTCGATCAGGACCAAGGGCAGCTTCCAAAATCCAAGCGGGGAGCCAATGGTCTCGCAGGCGTGTAGCCAGAGGGCCAAGAAGGCGACGCTGAAGAAGTGGTAGGCCAGAGTGGACGGGCTCTGGAGCAGGCCGCCAAGCATGGCGCATGGCTCGTCGACGATGCCCTTCTGGAAGTAGGCGAAGCAGCCCTTGCGCAGGGCGCGCAGGCACCAGTCGTTGCCCGAGAAGAGGCTGTAGAGGGCCTGGGCCAGCACGTTGACGATGGAGGTCAGGCGTTTGCGGCGCCAGTGGAAGGTCTGCATTGCGGCGCGGATGGCGGCTCCGTCGGCCAGATTGGGCACGTTGGTGGGGGCCAGCAGTTCCGAGACGATCAGGACGTCGTTGAAGGCGACCGTCATGCCGCCGCCCGTGAGCGGGTGGCGCATGTTCATGGCGTCGCCCAGAACCAGGACGCCGTCGTGGACCGTCTGTGGGGTGGGCGGCAGCCAGCTGTTTGGCATGCTCTTGGGGATCTTGCCGTCGGCGAGGGCGGCCATGGCGGCCGGGCGCACCGACTCGGGCAGGGTGGGGATGACAACGTTGGAAATGTAGCCGCGGACGCCGCCGTTGGCGGGAGAGGCGGCGGGCAGGTTCTCGGGCACGTCGATCAGGGCGCGGGTCTCGTGGGTGCCGATCTGGTACAGCAGGGCCAGGAAGTGCTCGCCAATGACAACGTGGCCGAAGCCCTGGGGGGGCAGGGGGCAGTCGATCAGCTCGAGGGCGTAGAACTTTGAGCGCACGATGGGGGTGCGGCCGATGTACTGCTTGCGGAACTTGGAGGCATAGCCGTCGGCGATGATGGTCAGCTGGCCAAAGAAGCAGTCGGCCTGCTTCTTGCCCGTGGCCTTGTCGGTGGTGCGGGCCTCGACGCCGAGGACCTGGGACGACCGCTGGCCCTGGACGGTGGCGGTGACCTCGGTCTCGACGACGGTGATGTTCTCGTGGCCGAGGCAGGCCTTGCGTAGGTTCATGATGAAGCGGCCGTGGTGGAAGCAGCGGCCCTCGGGCTGCCTAGACCGCGGCTCCATCTTCTTGTAGTCTCCGTTGGCCTTGGTCTTGGCGGCGGCGGCGCCGACCAGGACGCGGCCCGCGTCGTCGATGTGGGGGTAAGGGATTGCGACCTCGTCGTCCTGGTGCATGACGTGGTAGCCATAGCAGGGGACTGAGTCGATGCCGTCGAGGCAGTGGCCGAGGCCGAGCTTCTTCAGCGACTCGACCCCGCCGGGCTGCAGTAGCTCACCGACGATGCGGTCCGGCTGGTGCATCCATCGCTCGAGTAGCAGCACGCTGCGCCCCTGGTTTGCTAGTGCGTATGCAATGGCGCAGCCGAACACGCCGGCGCCGACGACCACGACATCAGCCTCGTGGTGTTTGGTCCGTCGGTCCACGCGGGGATCCTGCGTCTCGACGACGGTGGTCATGGGGGGCGGGATGTCGGCCGAGACCGGGGCCAGTTAATGGACGGACCCGGGGTGGGCGTTGCGAGGGGGTTGTTGAAACCGGCGGAGCGGTCGGTGGTGGAGGACGGCGGCGACGGCGCGGTGGTGGTGTGGAAGAGAGGGCACGGCTGTTGAGAGAAGGAGGGTGCGAGTGGGAGAATTGGTTGTTGTTGGCGAGGAGCAGAGCAGGAGAGATGGATCCAACAAAGGGCAGCAGGAAAAATGCGGGCTCAAAAAGGGGTGGGAGGGATGAGGGATGCTTCACTTAAAAATAAAAAAATAAAGACCAGGCCAATCGCTGAGCACGAATCAAACGAGCGTCCGCTGTCGTTATATCCCAACACGGCAGTTGCAATTCGCGCTGCTAGAGTCTGTGTTTGGCAGTTGGATGTCGCCGAAGCGGTATTGAAACAGACGAGAAAAAAACAATGACAATAAAACAATAAAAGATCCTCCGAGGGGGCGACGTACGTTTGTTTGCGCACTTCGCTAGCAAAGCCAAAATTGCTCCGAGTCGATTTGAGGCGCAAATCGTGCCATGCGACGGGCGGATTCTGCCGGCGCCTGCCTTCTTGCCAGCGTCCGCCAGCCTCTGGGCCCTGGGGCCCAATTGTGGCTCTGTCATTTCCTGACCGCCAAACCATCATCACATGTCGTCCCATCCCTCAGTCCACCACGCCTCGCGCTGCTTTGGGACGTCGCTGCAACGCGCGCTGGGGAACCCCACCCCACCCGCGCAATTGGCCCGTCCGAATGGTGTCTTTTTTTTCTCCTGCCCCAGAAAAACGGTGCTGGCATGTGAGAAGAGCGGGATCCATTTGCTGTGGGCCCCCCTTCCAAATGCGTGCCTGCCGGGCAAACAAACAAAAAAAAGGGGCAACATCGCTTCTGGCCTCTGAGAGCACATGGATGCGCCGTCAAAGGCGTCGAAAAGCAGGTACCAGGAACCAACAAACCACGACACCGCCCGTGATATCAGGTGACCTGTGCACCATTTTCTTGTCGGCGGAATTTCCTCCATCTCACGTTCAGAAACTCGCACATCCGCATTTCGGTTGTCGGTTCTCAGCTGCGTCTGCGTCTGCGTCTGCGTTTGATGGATGCTGGTGCTGCCACTCTCGGCCGGGGAAAGCCATTGGGCCATCCGTCGTCTTCTCTTTTTCCCCCTCGTCCATGTGCGCATGCACTTGGTGTTCGCCCGCACCGACCCCTCACCACTGCAGGCTGCAGGTAGAAGGTAGCAAGTATCCAAGCTCTCAGGCGGCGGAACTTGTCCCGCAACAAAAGGGGCACGTGCTGCAGCATGCTGCTTGTTTCGCACAGCAGCATCCAGGCCAACGCACCTCGAGATAAAACAACGGATGTCTACATGGCTTGGGTGTGAGAAAGGATGATAAGCAAGGAGATGCATCTGCAGCGCCGATCAGTGCTCGCTATCCAATGCAAGGTTTGTAACCAATATTCCGAGTTGTGCTTGGCACGATATTCGTCGTCCATGTCGTGGACGGCTTTGTGAAAACCCGTGTGCGCCTGCCTGCCTGTCTGTGCGACCTAGGTCTTACAACCACCACATCCCTCCTTTCGTACCGCCCGCCGGGCTTTCCCTCGTCCATTGATTACGAGTCCGGCGGCTGGCCAACATCAAGCCCGTCAGCTGAACCTCGTGGCCGTCAGTTGGTCAACTGGCGCCTGCTCAGTCTCAGGCTCCCGCACGTCACACCCAGAATCCTCCGCCGCGGACGCGATGATGCTGAGCACACCCTTCTGCACCTCAGCCTGTTCCTTCCTAAGCTGATCGCGATGTAAGATGATGTTGCGTAGCGCCAACTCCAAGTACTCTAGGGCTGGACCTCGGCCGCCTGGTCTCCTCCTCTCGATTCGCACGAGATACTTGACGCGCTTGAGGACGTTGGCTTGTCTCCCTGCCATCCGTGACCACCAGCCAAAGCTCGTGGCCGTTTCGACAAGCTTGGATAGCCGCTCCCACTGCTGCGTGGTCGAGTATATTTCCAAGAGGAGGTTGAAGTTGGTCGCGTTGAAGCCCGGAGCTTTCCCTGCTACCTCTGCCGCCATCAGAGCGAGGTAAGCGGCCCGTTCGTAATCCCGCGTCTTGATGAATTCCGCGGCCGCTTTATTCAGCACTGAGCTGGCCGTTCCAAGTCCGTACTTCTCCAGGCCTTGGAGCACGTTGCAAGTGTGTATCTGCACGTGCCGATCTCCTAGGTCGCGGTCGACCGATTCTAGGTCCGCGGTGAAGAGCGCAATGATGGCCTCCTTGGTGTCGATGCCTTTCTTCTTCGCACTCTGTAGGGTGCGAAGGATCTCGTCCAGGTTGTCCGTGCCCAGCCTCATCGCGGCCAACGAGTAGAGACGAAGGCAGTCGGGACAGTGCGGCATTCCCGACGTCGTCATGAACTTGTATGATCGGATTGCCTTGTCCGGCCTGCCAACACCGATCCAGGTTGCCATCGTGGTTGCCACCTTTGCTGGGTCAAAGCGGCCCCCTCTCACTAGGGCCTTCCGGTGCGCCCGTCTGGAGCGCAGAGCCAGCGCCAGCGATACTTTTCTGAACGAGGCTCGGGTGAGGAGTGCGGCTCCAACCAATATGTTATCCGTCACCTCGTCCGTGAAGGCCGCGCCAAAGCGCCGTAGAGCTCGGTGGACACGCCGCAGATCCTCAAAGTCGAATTTCCAGTGGTTCCGACAGCTCGTCAAAATGGCGTTGCTGAAAGCAGCATCCATCTCGAAGCTAGCGCCGCTGCAGTACTTGATCCACGCGAGAAACGAATTGACGTCGCGGGCGGCGCCGTACTCGTTTGCGACCAAGGTGACCATGTACTTGGTCAGCGGGACTTTGAGATCGTTCAAAGCAAACTTGACAAAGGCTTCTGTCTCCTCGATCGTATGGCATTCTCGATATTCTTTCAGGATTGGGACGAGCACGTCCGTGCCGCGTGTCGGCACCGCTCTGCCAGCAGGGTACATCCTCCGGATGAACGAGTCCACAGCAACCCAGTCGCCCTCTTTGGCACGGGCTAGGGCAAATAGCCCGAGGATGCGCATGTTGTTTTCGGATTCGTTGTGATGTTTTATGAGGTCGTCGAAGTGGTCCTGCGCTGCCGATGGCTCCCCCGCCTCGAGCGCGACCTGTATGATGGTTCGGAACACGCCGTCCGGGTATGCCACCAGGTCGGAGATGCCCGTTTCTCTTAGGGCGAGAAACAGCTTGAGCGTTTCGCTGTACTTGCCCTCCTTCTTCCAGTGAATATAGAGAAGCTCGCTTAACCAGGCCACCCGCATGTAGACGTTGGCGGGCTGGTGCGTACGCAGACAGTCGATTACCTCGGCCGTCCTATATCCGTTGGCTTCGGACACACACTTGACCACTAGGTCACAAACACCGTAGTATTCGTTCCTGTCTACCATCAAGTGTTGGTGGTACTGGCTGCAGCTCACAAAGAACCGGGCAACGGTATCAAACATGGACTTCTGGTGCAGGCGGTGGAAAACATGGCGAAGGAACTCGCACGCGCCGGGCTCCGCGAGGTACCAGTTCACACGCTCGAACAGGACCCGAGTGACGAGTGTGTAGCGCTCAGCATCCACACCTGCCTCGATGAGCTTCTTTGCGGTTTTGAGCATCTCAGGCCCCCGCAGACTTGGGTCCCCATTCAGATTGGGTACATAAAGGTCCACGGCAACCGAATAGCGTCTGCTTGGTGTCAAGCCATATTTGTCTCGCAGGAGCGTGTCTTCCACTATGGGGAGTGGATCATGCGCAAAGTAGACCTCCTCGTCCAACGGCCCGAGGCGGAGAACTGCCCGCAACACTTTCAAGGCGTCTTCCATCCTTTCTGCGGCCTGGCATGCTTTGGAAAGCCGAGCCGTGACCTCCAAGAGCTCGCTCTGACCGGTCTCGGACTTGGGTGCCGGTAGCTCAACTGTCCGTTTCAGCAGAGCTGCAGCATCCCCGAGCCGTTGTGGTTTCCCGGTTTCAATAAGCGCTGTTATATCGGCAGCAAGCTGGCGGAGACACCTGACTTGGTCGGTTTTGCGTTTCTTCGGTTGTCCGGGTGCATACTTGTGCTTCTGATTCTCCGGTATTGCCGTCTTTGGGCGTCCTCCCCACTTAGGTCTTTGTGCTCGAGTAGTTGCCCGACCGCTCTCCTGAACAGACACAGCCGGCGGGACGGAGCCGGGATCATCGCTGGCTCGAGAGCCGCTATTATCGGGTTCGGCAGGGTTGTGGCGGCAGAAAGACCGGGACTCGAGCAGGAAGACATCCTCCCCCTTGAAGTTGATCACGTCGGCGGCAGCGCCAGAGTGGTACTGAGCAGACGACTTGAGCCTCTCGCCGTTGGAAAGGACTCGGCGGGCCGTATTTATCCGGCGGCGGCGGTCTTCGGTGACCAGGGCCAGGGTACAGGTGGTGCCGAGGACAAGGCCGCGGAGGGCTTGTATGACCGCCTTGGATGGCACTGGAACGGGGGTCGCCATTGCTTAATTGGAACGAGCGCCATCTCGATGACCCATGACAACTAGGATGGGTATTGTTTGCGGTCACTGCTCGGTGCAGGGCGTGGAGTTGTGGTCGGCTCGTTTTCGCCAGGCTTTGCGTCGCAAGAATTGTTGATGGGCTGATGCCGAAAATCATCAAGGTTCCCGCTCCCGCTGCTGGGCGCTGCGGCGTATCATGTATCATTTGTGGGCCTCTCGTTCACCACCGGCCCACCGAAGCTGGCGGGGTAAACTTTGAACTCGCGATGCTTCCCACATGCTATACAGAATGAAGAAAAGGGAGGACAAAAAGAAGAAAATGGTATGAATAAAACAAAATTCACCCGCTCAAACACTCGATTTGTTGCTGGGAGCCATTGGGAGCTCGACTATTGTTTGCCCGGGTAAATGGGGGGCAGTAAAATGCTTTCGAGGCGGGACTAACACCCGATTATAATCGCCAAAAAGTAAACAAATAACATCGTAAACAGCTAACATGGATGGAAAGCGAGGATGTTCTATTGCCCCTCCCTGTCTATTCGTCTCTATCCAGCCCTGGAACGCCATCTCCCATAGATCGATCCATGGCAACAACAATAAACAATATTTGGTGAGGGAATTTGTACATGTCGTAATAACACAGCCGAAGAATTTGTGGACGCCACGCAAATCCCGCGCGTCCTCTTATGTGACCAGCTCGGGCCGCTCCCAGGGCAGTATGTCCTCTAGCTGCCGCAGTATGGTCTGGTACAGGAAAAGCATGCACCCGCTCTGGACGCTGGTCCACACGAAGCGCGGCCCCACGCCCCGGAACCAGCCCCCGATGCCCTCCGTCTTGTAGAGGACCTTGAGGCCCGTGATGACGGACGAGGTCTCGAGGCCGGCGGCGCCGGGCCGCGGCGTGTGCGTCGACGGCGACGACGTCGAGATGCCGCGCCTCTGCGGCTGCGAGGTACCGCTGCCGCTGCCGCTGCCGGCCGCCGCCTGGCTGGCGGCGGTGGCCGCGTGCTGCTCCGGCCTTGCCGGCTTCGCGCTCGACGTGGTCTCTTGCGACTCGGGATGCAGCTGGGTCTGCAGCCTCGTCTTGACGACGTCGAGCGGGCACGTCATCGCGCCCGCGAGGCCGCCGGCCGCCGCGCCTGTCAGGAACTCGAGGTGCGGGCCGATGTCGCGGCTCTGCTTGTACTGGTGGGCCCAGTCCTGGCCCTGCTCGTAGAACATGAACTGGAGGGCCGAGAAGGGTATGTCGCGGTACAGCGTCGCCTTGTAGCCATAGAACAGCGCCGCGAAGCCCTCCTGCCGCACAATCGTCCGGGCGGCGTCAAAGGTCCCCCTGTAGTTGTAGCCCGAGTGGAAGAACGGGTTCTTGTACCGCCCCTGGAGTTGGAGGCGCGTCTTTAGGACCTCGGAGGGCACGTACACGATCGAGGCAGCAACATCGCCGAGGAATCCTGCGTCAGCCGTTAGCCCCCGGCCGAGAGACGTGTGCTGCGGAGTTGAAGGTGGGTAGAGCGAGCGCCGACGTACCACCAATGAGGTAGGCGATATGGGGCTGCACTCCATAGTCCAGCATGTGCCGCTTGCTGTACTCGTAGGTTCCGAAAAACAGCATGGTGCCCGGGAAGGACCCCATGAGCGCGGGCAGCCATCCTCCATACAAGCCCCGTCGAATGCCCTCCTGCCTTAGAATTGTGTAGTATGAGGAGCCCAAAGACGTATATTTGGGTGGTATGTGCGGGTCGCCTTGTTGTCGAGTCTTGACAGTGTCTAGCGAGTGCATCAACATGTCACCAAACGTCCCGCCGATGCCGCCGGCCAGCATACACTGCAGGGGGCAAGGTCACTGTCAGCGAGTGTCTCGAGGTCCGCCCAGAGGGGCGGCATTGGGTGCGCGTACATGTAAGTATGGTGGCCGGGCCTCGAATTCCCCTCCGTGAGGACTCATATTATCGTGTGTTTAAAAAGACCGTTTTTGGTTCCTTCCGAAAATGCCCCCCGGGAAGGCTCTTGAGGCGCCAAGTCCATGGTAGGCCAAACCAGGGCGACGGGAGCCTGGGGTTTTTGCGCCGCAGTCGCGTGCGAGACGCAGGGCGGCGCTGATCGGGATCGGTGACGTATGCGACTCTGACGGAGCAAAAAGAGAAAAGAAATCAGAGGATAGAGAGTGTGTGCCTGGCGCTTCCTTGACACGCAGGCAGCCCGCAGTAACGAATGCTCGGAATATTTCGCCCGGGGGGAGCGCTCAAGGCTTTTTGCGACGAGCTGTCCCGCCGGGTTGGCCGAGACTGCGGGAAGATCGGGTGGGTGGTCGTCGACTTCCAAAAATTTCCTTCGTGGTCCGTGCGTTAGTAATGACGGGGCGCCGATTATCCCACAGAAACCCCTGCCGCCTCTGCCGGGCGTGGGATCGGAATTCCTAGCGAGGGCTTCCTGAAATCGTGAAGGCGTGGCGCGTGAAAGGAATTTGCCATGGAAGTAATTACATTGCTCCTGTGAACCCGGCACCAACTTCTAATATCGTCACAGAGGTGGTATTTCGATTGGCTTTTCACTAACAAGATAGACAGAATGTCTTCTGGCGGCCAATGGCAAGGCAGGCGTGTTGTGTAGTATGCACAAGAAAAAGGAAAGACCCTGGCGTCGGCGTCGACCAGCCTTCACCAAAATCTCGGCGCGCGCTGTGCACGCTGGTGAATCGAGGCATGCTCGTGCTCCTCCCACCTGATCCTGCCCGCCCGATGAAAAGGATAGAGGATGCGGGTGAGCCTGCCCCTGATGAGCCGTCGAGATATCGGCCCGTAGTTGTTGCTGTCGCGCGAGAGGCTTGCGCCGCCATCTCCCTCCACCCAGATGTAGCCCTGGGGGACGTGGACGAACGAACCCTTGCGGGTGCGGATGATGTCGCCCTCCAGACCAATCACCCTTTTGACTGAGATCTTGTTTGGATCATGAGGCGCCCTGAACAACTGTTAGCCTTTTGTTTGAGAGTAAAAAGTCTGGTGTGTCGCGGACATGGCTGAGGAGGGGCTCACCAGAACTCGACAATCATGCCACGCTCGAGCTTGTCCTGGGCGTTCCACTTGACGCTTAAGCACACGTCTTGACGCAGCGTCTGGTTGAACTGCGGGTTGAAGAACGGGTACATGGACGGGCCTTTGATCCAGGCCAGGTCGGCCACGTTGGCCTTGACGTACGCGATGACGGGCAGCCAGAGGCCATACTGGAGGAGATATCTGGCCGTCTGCAGGCCGAGCGCGAATGGCCTGTTGCTACCGACCCTCGACGCCGATCCTCTCATCCACGCCCATGCTGACCCGAGTGCCATCTGTGAGGTGGCTCGGTCCCGTCAGCGGTTCGCGTGTAGGGACCAGCTGACGATTACAGTAACTGACAAATTCGCACAGTTGATGGTTCACAAAACAGCACCGCCCTCCGCCAGAATCCAGAATGAAGCTCCACAACCCGCACCAAGTTCCTCAAAAGGCTCAAACAGCAGCAGCGTAAGCAACCATATCGTTCTCGATCGGATCTTGACTGAAATTTCCAACCTCGCACACGCTCTTGGAGTTGAATCACATCCTGATTTCTTGACGTCATTGGCCTCACTTTCCAGTTCATACCAAGGCTTATTTTCTTTTGTTTTGTTCCCTTTCTACCAAAAATAAAATAAAATACGCTTTTGCGAGGTTCCCCAAGGGTGCGTGGGAATGCAGCCTACTCGCCATCGCCGTCCTTGCCCACCCAAGACAGGAAAAGGAAATCTCTATGACTGTCCCCTCCATATTTCTTTATACGCCATAGACAGTGCCTCATATCCGACTGAAATTGTGGTCCTGCTTCAAGCACTGCTCCCATGAGGCCGTTGACGTGGTCTCATCCCTCCTTTTGAGTTTTGACTTCGGGCGGTGCGCAGCAAATAGGAAAAAGAAAGCAGGAGTGCAAACTTATTGAACTCTCTTCCTGACTTAGAGGGTCTCCGGGACATTGTCGTCGCTTTCGCTGACGCTCTCGTCTCCGCTGACTTCGGCATTCTCCCTCTCGCGCTTCTCCATAAGGGCCTGGAGCTCCGCGTCGTCCGACTCTGTAACGGCCTTGGGCTCCATCTTGATCACTAGCTTGCCGCCTGCTGATTCGATGTTGGTCCGGATATCCACAATGGCTTCTTGCAATCTCGTGATGCCCGTGTTTTTGTCCAGGCACGTGCTAGTCAGGACGTAGAGAGGCGGCGACACCAGCTTAACCTTGACCTGGTTGTCATCCGTGTTGCGGGACTCGGCCGTCCTTAGGGCCGTCTTGATCGCATCGATGCCGTCGTACCCGAAGCAGGTCACCTCCACATCCGCCCGGACCTTGGTCGGCTGTGGCGTCAACCGCTTGCTGATGTATGACTTGAGCTCCTCCGCGACAGGATCGCTGGGGAAGGTGATGTCGTTCCAGACCTCGGGGTTCCTAGCACGAAAATATTGTCCGAGGTTAGTAAATTGCCGGCAGCACGCCACACTATCGGCCCACGGGGGGCGGACGCTCGGGGGCATCATGGAAAAGCTCACGTTATTGACAGCTTGAAGGCGTCGATCGAGTGACCGTACTTGCGGTTCAGCGGCCAGGCGATGGCCTCGTACAAGCTCTCGATCGGGACCAGCGCCTTCTCGGCGACGTGGCGCATGATGGAGTGGACCATCTTGCTCTTGTTGTACCTCTCTTCGCACTTGACAATGTCCTCCTGCGACACACGGCGCTTCGACAGGTCGATGTAGCCCTTCTCCTTGTCGACACGGAGAACCACGACGACCTCGTTGCGGCCGACCCGAATAAGCTTCTGGATACTTCGGATACGACGCCTCGACAGCTCAGAGAGCAGGATCATGCCGTCGATGCCGTCGTACTCGAGCAGTTTGACGTACGCGCCCATGTCCGCAATCTTCACGTTTGCCTGTGTTAGCTCCCCGTGATCGCAAAACATCACTAGCAATGTGCCAAGAACCCTGAACAAACCTGCTTGACTGCACCGAATGTTAGCCTCCCATGTCTCGCGCCTGGTGTCTGCACAAGGCCGACTGCGGGGCTGGCGATTTCTGCGCTGCTGCGTGCTTGTGCTGCTTACCATTGACCATGACAAAGCTGTCAATTTCCGGGTACTTCTCTTCGTAAAAACGGCAGTTTGTTAACGACATCTTGGCTGTGTTTCCGGCCTATCGCCCCGAGATCGAGAAAGGGAAATTATGCCGATAAAGGGTTGGGGTCGAATCTGCGCCGTCGCGGAAGCGTTCTGAACCGGAGCTGCTTCAATATCGGTTCGGGAAAATCGCAAACGCTCGTAGGGCAGTTCGTGCGAAGCCAGCTGCTCTGCTGAGTTTCGTCGTCGTCTCTGGGGAGCGGCGGTTATTAGGAGGGTTGGCGTCGCCGAGAGGATGTTTTGAGTCACGGTGAGAATTTTGGCAGCGATTCGGCCGTTTGTGATCTGATGTCGACTCTGAATGGTGGGGTCGTTTTTTCGCAGCGAGTGGTGGCGTTGGGCGCTGGCGGCACGGGCTTGGGTTGGTGCGCGCGGGGTCTGCTGTAGTGTCGCTCGCTGACGGGGAAGTTGCCTTGGCCCGTCTACTACTTGGTAGTGAGAGGGAGGAAAACGGTTCCGTTTAATTGCATAACCCACCTGACCGCCTGCCGAATGGAAAAGCACGGGCTGGAGCTTCAATGATGGATGCCCTCGGCTCGAGCCAGTTCGTGGGCCGGAGCTTTTTCTACGCGTGCTCCACCCCATGACCGCAAACTCTTCGTTCCACAGCTTTCTCCTTTTAAGCTTTCCTTGCTCACCCTCCATCCTCCTTCTTCCCGTCCCTCCTCAGGATGATAGCCTGAACGCCTGGCTCTCCTGCGCAGCGCACCGGCGACAGTGCGGAATCCATGGCCGGCATCAGGCTTGAACCCTGCAACCCCAACGCCATCCGGCTGCAGGACGGCGACATCCCAAGCTCTGGTTGGCCGTCGATCAGGCTGGTGAGCTATTGCGCCATGCCCGGCTTCTGATCGCGGGTGACCTTGTCCGAGTGTTCAGCAAAGAGCCGGCAAAACCCATCTCCGCTCCCGAGGCACGTCCTTGCCTTTTGCGTCGAGAAAGCTTGCTCCTTTGGAGGCCCCTCCTGCCGGAACCATGGGGAACGCAACGGAACTCGTGTCGGCCTCGGCCATGGCTGCCGAACAGCAGACGTCGGGGTCCTGGCTCGGCGTGTTCGGGAGCATCACGCTGGCTGTCTTTCAGCTACTATCGTCTATCCTGTATTGGGCGCTCAGGGTCACCACCTTTTCGGTCCCCAGCCTGCTTTTCACTATATTTTCCACCAGCTTAACCGTCACAATGAACGCAACGACGCTGTATGTCAACCCTTCCTGCTTCATAGCCCTCGGCCAAGTGCATGTGGCTGGACCGGCACTTACACTGCGACGACCACAGCATGGTCATTATGGGGATGGCATTTTCCTTGGCGAGCTGGTTTGTGCGCTACCGCTACCTCAACATGTATGCCCGTCTGCCCCCGGAGCCTCAACGGAAAGAGCCAGAACTGGACCTTTTTGTGGACCCCCACTCCGAGCGTGACAAGTCAGGACTCTCCAACTATCTGGACGAGTTCCTCAGCGCCATCAAGATCTTCGGGTATCTTGAGCGCCCGGTGTTTCATGAGCTCACTAGGTCCATGCAAACCCGGAAGCTCATCGCGGGTGAGACCTTCAACCTTGAGGAAGAGAAGGGCTTCTGCATGGTTGTCGATGGCCTGGTCGAGATTTTCGTCAAGTCGGGGGACAGGCGACCAGCCCCGGCTGCTGGATCGCCCATCTCCGAGTCCAGTGGTGATGAACAAGAGGAGTATCACTCGGGTCACCAGCGCTACCAGCTGTTGACTGAAGTTCACAACGGCGCCCCCATGTCGTCCTTGTTCTCTATCATGTCCCTGTTCACCGAGGACGTCAAGCTACGTCACAACGAGGACGAGTCCGAGCCCCCTTCAGCTACGGAACTGTACCAGAACACAGGCCTGGGACTGTCCGACAACTTCCGTAACCAGCACGACCTACCTATATCTGTGCCTAACACGCCCCAGATTCCCAGGTCAGGCGCAGAGGGAACACCACAGGAGTCACAGCCACTTAGCCATTCAACATCCAACATCCCACCCATCTCCCTGGATCCGCCACTCAAGCAACGCCCCAAGCGCCCAGTGCCCAAGAGGAACGCCACAACCTCAGCGCATCCTGACATCATTGCCCGAGCCACCAAGGACACAACAATCGCCATCATTCCAGCCAGCGCCTTCAGGAGACTTATTCGGATATACCCAAAATACACGTCACACATTGTGCATGTCATCCTCTCGCGGTTTCAGAGGGTCACTCTCGCCACGGCCTACAACTATCTGGGCCTCACCCGCGATGTTCTGCAGATCGAAAAGAGTATGATAGAGTACACGACCTGCGAGCTGCCTAATTTCTTGAGAGGTGATGCCCTCGATCGGCTCAAGGAGAAGTTCGTCAAGGAGCGGGAACGCATGGGTGATGGGGACTGCACCAAAGGAATTGCTCTGCACAACTCCTCCAGTGGCCGGCGTCATTCGGCATCAGCTTCTCTCCGAAAGGAGGCCGCCCTCCAGGCCCTCTCCAACCGGCAGCGCCACAGCTCTGTCATGGCATCTCAGCCCAATGCGTCGCTGCCAAGGGGCCCCATGAGCACGTCGGGGTCAGGCACCGATTTGCTGAACAACATCAAGCTCTCCCGAAATGGCGGACATCCTTCTACGGCCAACATGGACGCACCAAGCGCGTCGACACCCACTGTCCTGCTAGAGGCCGAGGCCGTGTCGCCGCTCTCCCAACGGGTCTCGAATCCGTTTGTGGCACAGAGGCATGCTCGTATCTCGATGAACAAACGCGAGACGGTTGATGAGGATGGGATTTTCCGCGAGTCCATACTAGAGTGTATGTTTAAGGCCATTGGCTTGACAACAAACACAAGCGGCACTTCGGAGTCCACTGAGGGCTCCCCCCTGCTGGGGTCCTATGACCAGATCCGACAGCGCGGTGTTTCGAGTCACAACGCATTTGGGTTGATCGATCCTTATGGGGGATCTGCCGATGGCGATGCAGACTCTATCACCTCTGGGGGCACAGGGCTGCCCAACCAGGCCGTGAACACACGGGCCTTGGCCCACGACATGAGAGATGAGGTCGAGATTGTCTACTTCCCCAAGGGCTCTCTGTTGGTTGAGCAAGGGGAGAGAAATCCCGGTCTCTACTATGTCGTCGACGGCTTCCTTGACGTCTGCATGACGTCTGACGAGTCTTCTGGAGACATATTGCAAGTGTCAAGGAACGCGTCTTCCTCATCTCCTGCTCGGAGCAGTGCGGCCAGGCGCTCATCATCAGATCGTCGGAAGGCATCCACAAGTCATCATTCCATGCCCGCCTCCGGGATGAAGTTTGTTGATGGGCGCAGAGGACGAAAGGGCAGCCGTCGGAGTGTGGCTCTTGTGAAGCCAGGAAACCTGGCGGGATATGTCGGCACCATCTCGTCACATCGATCATTTATAGACGTCGTGGCAAAGACTGACGTTTACGTTGGTTTCTTGTCCCGGCAATCTCTGGAGAGGATTGTAGATCGATATCCCATCGTGCTGCTCACCATCGCCAAGCGCCTGACCAACCTCCTTCCGCGCCTCATTCTGCACATCGACTTTGCCTTGGAGTGGCTGCAGGTCAATGCTGGGGAAGTTCTATTTCATGGCGGCGAGGAGAGCGAAGCTATCCATATCGTTCTCAACGGCCGCCTGCGGCTCGTCGGGGATCGCAAAGACGGTGGGGTCGACGTCCGGGCCGAGTATGGTCAGGGCGAGAGTATCGGAGAGCTCGAGGTCCTGACCGAGTCTGCCAGGACCGGGACCCTCCACGCCATCAGGAACACAGAGCTGGTCAAGTTCCCGAGGACTTTGTTCAACAGCCTGGCGCAGGAGCACCCCAACATTACCATCAAGATCTCCAAGATCATAGCATCCAGGATGAGGAGCATCGTCAACGATCCATCAAGTGTGGTTGGCAAGGAGAGCGCCATGAAGGCTACTCTCAACAAAGGCTCGTCGACTCTCAACCTGCGCACCGTAGCGATCCTCCCGGTCACGGCCGGCGTCCCTGTCGTGGAGTTTGGGAGCAGGTTGATGGCCGCGCTCACACAAGTCGGAACACCCAACGGGGCGACGTCTCTCACGCAGTCTGCAATCCTCAACCATCTAGGCAGGCACGCCTTCAACAAGATGGGCAACCTAAAGTTGTCGCAGTACCTCGCTGATCTTGAAGAGAAGTATGGCCTGGTCATCTATGTGGCTGGTGAGTTAGCCTTCCCATAATTGTTCATCCCCTCTTCGCCCTGTGTCCTTTCCGTGGACCAGTCAGCCACGCCTTTCACACCTAGTGCCCAAATGATGAGAAAATCTATTGCCGAAGGCTCGCCAGCCCCTGATGGCCAATAAAACTCTAATTTTTTCCTGATGTGGCATCTATCACGCCTCCTTACTGGATGCAATCATCCATACAATTACACGAGGGCTTATGAATCTCGAGCGTCAACTGACCTTATTGACTCTGACAGACACCAACGTCAACTCTCCCTGGACCCAGACTTGCATCACGCAAGCGGACTGCATTCTACTCGTGGGCCTAGCCGAAGGATCACCAGAGGTTGGCGAGTACGAGCGTTTCATGTTGGGAATGAAGTCTACGGCGAGGAAGACGCTGGTTCTGCTTCACGCAGAGCGCTACAGTTCGCCAGGTCTGACGCGGGCGTGGCTCAAGAACCGCATGTGGATCAACGGGGGCCACCACCACGTGCAAATGGCCTTCCAGGGTCAGACAGTCCCTATGCCCAAGCGCACAGGCCCAAGCCTGAAGGAGAGGGTTCAAATAATCCAGGCCGAGATCCAGAAGTACACGTCCAGGAAGGTCCGACACACCCCTTTCTACTCCCCAGATGCACCCTACAAGGGAGATTTCCACCGCCTCGCCAGGCGGCTATGCGGCAAGTCTGTCGGGCTTGTTCTGGGAGGCGGTGGTGCACGAGGAATTGCCCAAGTCGGCATCATTCGAGCCATGGAGGAGAGCGGCATCCCGATCGACATTGTCGGGGGCACGTCGATTGGGTCGTTTGTTGGCGCGTTGTACGCGAGGCATGCGGACGTGGTGCCCATCTTCGGTCTGAGCAAGAAATTTTCTGGCCGCATGGCGAGCATGTGGCGGTTTGCTCTGGATCTGACATACCCCTCGGCTTCGTACACGACGGGACATGAGTTCAACCGAGGCATATACAAAACGTTTGGGAAAACACAGATCGAAGATTTCTGGCTCGAGTTTTACTGCAACACCACAAACATCAGCAAAAGCAGAGCCGAGATCCATACGAGCGGCTATGCTTGGCGTTACGTCAGAGCCTCGATGTCGCTTGCCGGCCTGCTCCCGCCTCTCTGCGACGAGGGCAGCATGTTGCTGGACGGGGGGTACATCGACAATCTCACTGTATCACACATGAGGTCACTCGGAGTCGAAACCATATTCGCGGTCGACGTTGGTTCTTTGGACGATGACGTGCCACAAGCCTATGGTGACACGCTCTCGGGTCTCTGGGCCTTTGTCAATCGTTGGAACCCATTCTCAAACACGCCGAACCCGCCAACTCTGGCCGAGATCCAGGCGCGTCTCGCGTACGTGTCGAGTGTGGATGCGCTTGAGCGAGCCAAGACGACCCCAGGATGCATCTACATGCGGCCTCCAATCGATGAGTACGGGACGCTGGATTTCGGCAAATTTGACGAGATCGTGCACGTCGGGTATCAATATGGTCGCGAGTTCCTTCAGAAGCTGCGAGAGGAGGGCGTGCTCCCGCTTATAGAGGAGACAGAGGCCAAGAAGGCGCTCCGCAGAACGATGGCTCCCCGGAGAGCCAGTATCTAGCAACGCAGTATAGTCGGACAGCACAGCACAGCATCAGGGCTCGCTAGCATGCTGGTATTCAAACAGACAGCGAACTGTCATGTCAAGGTTCACAGTACCTGACATTCGCCCACCTAGCCAGATTAAGCAAAGATTGAACAGAGAGCGACTTTTTTTTTTCTTCCGAATTTCCCTTGCAGAACATACCTTGCGCGATATATGCGGGCTGAATCAGTCTCGAAACAAAACGAGGCTCCTGTAACAGCACGTGACATCCCGCATCCCGCATTCGTAGGCTTTGATAGCACGGCGATCCGCCGATCAGGGGAGGGAGATCCCGCTGCATACAGATCTTGATTCCTTGCTTCGGCGACCCTAGGTGTTTTTTTTTACGTGACGTCACTTGCATGCGTCTCGCGCCTAATACGTTGGACTAGCTTTTATGCGTGTACGAGACGACCATCATGCCCTAAATTTCGATGGTGGCGGTTATGACGAGCGTCGTTTTATGCATTTCCCAAGTTGTCCCTTGAAGGACGCTATCTCGAGAGGGCAGCCATCCAACCAACCCACGGGATCCCTGCCCGGATGCAAGAACTATCCAAAAGTCTGCGGAATCTGCACAAGGGCACCTCCAAGACAAAAAAAACGATACACCAAAATTGAGCATTTCATTCACCAATGGCTTCCCAGCGGAATATCCTATTAAAAATTTACAAAAACTCAAAGTACCAAATTTATAACCAACAGTTTTAAATGGCATTTTTCTTTAAATTTTTATAATTTTCCTGGAGTTTATACATTTGATTGTTTATTGCTTGTCAGAGGCTGTTGAGTCCATTTGGGGGAAAGTTCCCCACTTTTCCGTTCTTTTGGTGTATCGTTTTTTTTGTCTTGGAGGTGAAGGGCTGACCTGGCCGGGACTGTCGGGAAGACCAGGGCAAACAAAAAGGGTCACAGCGGTCATGCTGAAACCGGCCTGTTCCCGGGGTTGGTTGGTCCGAACTGGGGAGACGTCCTCGTCTCAAAACAGAAACTGACTGATAACAAGGCAGGAAGAAAAGTCGACATGCAGGTAGACAATTCGATCATACATACGTAGAGAATGGAGGACAGAGTCGCACACAGTTGATATTGGCCGAAAAGACGGACCATGCTCTGGTTGGTTGATGTCATTATTCTGCGAGGAGCCATGCGAGGGACTCGATTCATACCTCGGCCCTGCGCGTGCGCACGCTCGCGCCGTCGTTATTTCTCCCTCCGCAAACTATGTGTTGCCACGATGACCACGACGACTCGTCAGCCGAGTGTAGCGCGTCGTTAAAAGGCCGTTGGCTCTATGTGTAAAACTAGAATGAAAACAAACGCCTCTCTCGTACGCGGCCCGCTGATTATTGCGAACACCGCGGTAACCGTCGAACAACCCCAAGCATTAGGGAAAATGATAAGGAGTTACCAAGATGCAAATAACAAAAAAAAAAAAAAAAAAAAGGGCGAAAGAGACGAGTCAAACACTCTGTCGCTGCTGGCACAACTCTTTTATCCTTGCGGAAACAAGAAGGCCAGCGAGAAGAGAAATGAGTAAATGACAGGGTGAAAAAGAAAAGAAAAAGTGGACTCCGTATT